ATACAAGGGACAAAAATAAGCTGTCAGAATTCAAACGTGTTCAAGAATACAGCTTTATGGCTGTAACTGCTATCATACTCTGAGCTAAAAAAACAAATAGGCAGATTTCAGATCTCACTCTGAAGGGAGTCCCTGTACTTTTGTGTGAGTATTTATGTAACTGAACGTAAAACATTTTATTACAACCTGATCACACACTGGCAATAGCACACTGAGCTCCTCCACCTCTAAAATTGATGCTTTAGAGGGACTATTACACTAAACTGAAAAGTTAAAAATAAACTATCGCCAGAGGTCTTTGAAGAATAACAGTTATTGGTACATATTGACACAAATGCAGAGCATTAAAGGTTGTAACTTAAAACACAGGAAACATTCTTATAACATCACAAATTAACTCACAGAACATATAAATTGATTTGACCCCACTATGTTTGTATATTCAAACATAGCAACTTAAAATACCCAGCACACATGTTAACTTATGCTATTTCCTCCTTTGTCTGACTTCTAATTAGAACTTGCTAGTGTAAACTAAAGGATGCATCTAACCCTTCACAATCATATAAGACAAAACGGAAGTAGAAATATCCTTTGCATTTGCTAATGTTATCATATTAATGATTTGTATCAGCTTTCAGCCGTACATCTCATCAGAATGGAAAGCAAAAGGAACAAGCGAGTTGCTGTTCCTAACATCAGAGATGGGAGTTCTCTCCAAGAGGGATCAACTGTAATGGAAAAATAAAGAGAACAAATTGAATGTTATGATCTGCAGAAAGTTACACAACGTAGGGAGAAAACGCCACAGCCTTCTAGCATTCCAGTGACTACATGTTATTTCAGGAAGATCTCCAGCTTTTCATGTTACTGTGCATGGCATAACTTACCATGGAAAAGTCAATATTTTAACTAATGATTAATTTTGTCAGTTTGCCATAGGAGACAGTAAAGCAAAACAAATATACAAACACACAAAATAACAATTACCTTTAAACCAACAGGTTTCAATTTCTCCTTTCTCAAAATCAGCTGAAGGGAATGTTGTCTGTCTTTTCTAAAGGTAATACCAAGTGGGAGGCTGTCAATGGAAATTTTTATTCAAAGAAGAAGGGTTTGTTGGTTGTTTTTTTTCTTTGTTTTTAAGAAAGCTACGACCAAATAGAAGTATATTGCATAATAGTAAGTCTGCATTGCATATAAATTCAATTATACAGTTTACCACCATGAATTCAGTAATCGGGATCATATTACCTCCAACTGTGAAACATTCAAGCACCTCATGGAAAGAACAGGGCAGTTCTTGCTGTGGAAACACCTGCAGCTGGCGAGCCAGGTGCTGTCTCTGTAGGAGCTCAGGCAGCTCTGCAGCCACTTTAGCCCCACAAGGAAAGTTCCTGGAGGACACGATCGAAGAGTCATCACCTGCAGCTGGCCTTCAACCTCCTGCACCTACTTCTTGTGTTTCCCATGAAGGTCTTTCACTTGCACATTGCTCCTGTCTACCCCTGGTTCTACTGAAGCCAGATCAAACCTTCAGTTAGTTAACTGCTGTTATTGATTACATACAGCATGATTAATCTTACTATGTTTATTGTAATTTATCCAGCAATAATAAAAAACAAAAAAGTACATTCTCCTCTTTATGTACTGACTTTCAGCAACTAGCTATTTTTGTCAAATACATTTATTAATCCTAAAAATGTAACACAACTTTGCAAGATCTCTGGCAAAAACCTTATGCAAAATACATAAAATATATGACATTATCTTTTTTTTCCCCTCAAAAAAAGGATTCTCTTCTTTGCATATAATAATAGCATTGTCCCTCAAAAACTGCTTACAAAAATCTTCATTTTGGACTTTTCTATTTTTTGTTGTTGTTGTTGTTTTGTTTTGTTTGGGTGGTTTGGTTTTTTCCTGTTGTTTTCTGTGCCTTAGTTTGCATTGACCAATGGAAGAAGGAAAAATATAAAGGAAAAAAATATAAAAACTGTAATCTTAATTTTTGTATTACTAAATTCTTGATTTCACTGATGGCAAACATGCAAGCAAAAAAATAGTCGCCTTTGCAATGTTGCCCCACCCCAGATATGTAAAAATAGTCACCAACCTAATTCTCCTTGCAGAAAATTAAGAACATAAAGCTAAAATATCATCAGACATCTGAGTATATGGTACTGATTGATTTTGCTACCTGAACACTTAAATTATATTGTAGCAATAAGTTAAAGTTCTCTGGACCTAGAAATATACTGGTCTGAAAAACTCTCTAACAAAAGCTCTCCAAATAAGGTGAGGAAGTATTATTTACTCAACTTGATAATGCCTATTTCTACTGTATTTGTCTTACACATATACAATACATTTGATTAATATGAACAAATAATTTGTATGGAACTGGCCAAGACTCCAAGTTTCACGTACCTCTCAGAAAACAAAAAGAGCATGAAGAAGACTTAGTTTGCTTTTACACATAGGTGGTTGTCACAAGTGGAATAATCATAATTACACTTCTTCAAAATCTGCAGGAATCCTAAACAATTTAGAAACAATTAAGTATATGCACTTCAACAGGCAAACTGAATGCAATAAAATAGCCAAGTGTTACTGAGTAATTATAATTCATGAAACATCAGCCATGCAGTTTGCTTTCAAAACTAGTATTGAGAAAAACTACTGAAAATATAGGAAAATAAGTTCTATATTTAATTAAAATTAAAAGGAACATAGAGGTTATTACCATAACACCATAGAGGTCATAATATAACACAAAATTACATAACACATACACTTAGTGATACACTTTTCTGTCACATACCCGTGTAACACTTAAGTCACTTGTTCCACACTGAATCGATACATTACAGAACTGTATGAAATCAGGTCCTCCATATGCAGGTCTTCTCCAGGATCCTCATATGAATTTTCATCAGTGTAACTGCTGTGGTCTATTTTATACAATTACATTATGGTCCAGACTGTATGTCTGTTGCTTTACTATGCTTTATTCTTTTTTCAATTCAGATCAACCTCGGGGACACTACATTCCAATTTCAAATCTGCAGACACAGCTGAAGGTTACCCCTTTGCCTGCAGAACCTTGCAGATGGCTCATTCAAGCTTAACTTGCCATATGTAACTTGAGCCAAGGACCTTTGAAATAAATGGGAAGACAGCACTTTGAAGTCTGCTACAATGATGAAAACAGTGACAGTTCTTGCTTATCCCCGATCAACTTTGTTAGAATTGCTAGCAGGAGGTGACCTGGTTTCGTTAAGAAAGGGAACCTCTAAACTTGAGTGTATAACTTCCTTGTAAATGGGACTTACACCTGTAAACTTGTTAGTTTGTTGTCATGGAGCATTATAGTCTTTAAAAAAAAAAGGGGGGGGGGAAGTTGAAGACAAACAGTCTCATAACAAAACACAAGGCTTCCTAGAAAAAAATAAGACCCTCTGATATAGACTCTGTAATTATAATTACCCCTATTAGTGGCATGCCTTCTTCAGCTTCTGAGAAAAACACAAAGTGTCTTCTGCTTATTTTCTGGAGAAAAGTAATGGCTTTGGAAAAGATTACTGTTAGGATCCAGTGTTGGGTCTCCAAACCAAACATGTAACGTACAGATGTCCATGCAGAAGACTGGGATCCAAACTATTAGTAGAGAAGGAAGGCAGTGTTAATCACTAAATATATCAACATCTTCTATTGCTGGCTATTCTCATTGCTAGCAATACTACTATTGTTACTTCTTTTTTGCTCTTCTGAGCAGAAAATCTGCCATATGATAAATAGATTTGAGTAGAGACCCTACTGTGAGATAAAGGATTATGCTGTTCATTTCAGCATAATTGTCCCTGCTGCAGTTGAGAAAGAAGCTGAACTCTTCTCCCATGAAAACTAGAAGCGAGATGTCCCAACGCAAGTTCGTTTTACAAAACACTGACATGTCCAAAATGAATATGAACAGTTTACTAATGACAGAGCCTTAAAATTAACTGCTGATAACTCAGGAATTTCACATGCAGTCACCCTCTGAAGTTACAGTTTTACTGTCCTTGTAGATAAAAATTTCTTGGTTATCTAACTGTGGTACAAGAGGGCCTGTGGGAACCCTTTTCAAGAGTTTTACTGCAGTAAACAACTCAGTCTGAGAACATGAAGAATTTGATTGTTACTTAGTTGTAAAGCAGTATTTTTCCCAGTGATTGTTACTTAGTTGTAAAGCAGTATTTTTCCCAGTGCTCATTAACAGAATCAAGAAAATAGAGGTAGCTAAGTGGGATGATGAAATCCAGGGCATCTGA